AAAAATAACAACACTTTGTCAGGACCATGAGGCGATCATTCCTACCAACTTTCAGTTCAATCGGTCCAGCAGAACTTGACTTTAAGTTTGAAATAGGTTTTCAAAATGGCGGCCGTGGCGGCCATATTGGATTTCTGATCGACCCGAAAAATAACAACACTTTGTCAGGACCATGAGGCGATCATTCCTACCAACTTTCAGTTCAATCGGTCCAGCAGAACTTGACTTTAAGTTTGAAATAGGTTTTCAAAATGGCGGCCGTGGCGGCCATATTGGATTTCTGATCGACCCGAAAAATAACAACACTTTGTCAGGACCATGAGGCGATCATTCCTACCAACTTTCAGTTCAATCGGCCCAGCAGAACTTGACTTTAAGTTTGAAATGTAAAATGTTAACGGACGACGGACGACGGACGATGGACGACGGACGACGGACGACGGACGACGACGGACGAAAACGGATAGCAATAGGTCACTTGAGCTAAAGCTCAGGTGACCTAAAAAAGCAAAATTTTAAGAACAAAATGTAGTATTTTTTGCTAATTATTTCAATGATAATAGAAAAATATGGAAAATAATAATTTGCCAATCTCAAAAACCACTATGAGTGCAGTGCCTTAACCAGTGGGGAAACCACATTTCACATTTGATTGTTATTTGTTTTCCTGGTAGACGATAAGGTATTGAAAATGAGAACTTTCTCATTGCAGCAAGTAATACTAGGATACAACATTGATATGTTTTTAAAATTTTGTATAGATATATGAAAAGTTTTGAAGATGTTACCCAGAAAACTCACCGATGCATGAAATCACAGAGCCCAATTGATTTGCCTTAATTGACATTATAATTAATAGCTTTCAAAATTCTTGAACACTACCCTTTTAAATTATTCAGGATCAGCATCTGGTCCAGAAGCCAAATACAAGTTGCAACTACAGTATAATAAAAAAAAAATAAATAGGATTCATTTTAAACAGCAGTTCATAAATTATATGTGGGTTGCTTTTAAATTAGTGATCTTTGACCGAGTTGATGGGCCTTTAGTGTTTTTATTTTTCACTGATCTGATGACTTGGAATTTGAGTTATATTAAGAGACTTAATGGCCACTGATGGAATTATAGGTGACAGCCTAAGGTTCAGTGAATGTTTCCACAATTAGGCGACAGCCTAAGGTTCAGTGAATGTTTCCTCAATTAGGTGACAGCCTAAGGTTCACTGAATGTTTCCACAAATAGGTGATAGCCTAAGGTTCAGTGAATGTTTCCAAAATTAGGTGACAGCCTAAGGTTCAGTGAAAGTTTCCACAATTAGATGACAGTCTAAGGTTCAGTGATGTTTACTCACCAAGCGTCTCTTCAGTTAAATCTGGCGTTTCTCCTGTTCACACATCAGCTGTGATAACAGCTCTATTAAAGCAATCCACTTCTCGGCCACCACATTCTGCAACAATTACATTATAGGTGACAGCCTAAGGTTCAGTGAATTTTTCCACAATTAGATGACAGCCTAAGGTTCAGTGAATGTTTACTCACCAAGAGTCTCTTCAGTAAAATCTGGCGTTTCTCCTGTTCACACATCAGCTGTGATAACAGCTCTATTAAAACAATCCTCTTCTCGGCCACCACATTCTGCAACAATTACATTATAGGTGACAGCCTAAGGTTCAGTGAATGTTTCGACAATTAGGCGACAGCCTAAGGGTCAGTGAATGTTTCCTCAATTAGGTGACAGCCTAAGGTTCACTGAATGTTTCCACAAATAGGTGATAGCCTAAGGTTCAGTGAATGTTTCCTCAATTAGGTGACAGCCTAAGGTTCACTGAATGTTTCCACAAATAGGTGATAGCCTAAGGTTCAGTGAATGTTTCCAAAATTAGGTGACAGCCTAAGGTTCAGTGAATTTTTCCACAATTAGATGACAGCCTAAGGTTCAGTGAATGTTTCGACAATTAGATGACAGTCTAAGGTTCAGAGAATGTTTACTCACCAAGCGTCTCTTCAGTAAAATCTGGCGTTTCTCCTGTTCACCCATCAGCTGTGATAACAGGTCTATTAAAGCAATCCTCTTCTCGGCCACCACATTCTGCAACAATTACATTATAGGTGACAGCCTAAGGTTCAGTGAATTTTTCCACAATTAGATGACAGCCTAAGGTTCAGTGAATGTTTCGACAATTAGATGACAGTCTAAGGTTCAGTGAATGGTTACTCACCAAGCGTCTCTTCAGTAAAATCTGGCGTTTCTCCTGTTCACCCATCAGCTGTGATAACAGGTCTATTAAAGCAATCCTCTTCTCGGCCACCACATTCTGCAACAATTACATTATAGGTGACAGCCTAAGGTTCAGTGAATTTTTCCACAATTAGATGACAGCCTAAGGTTCAGATTCATTTTAAACAGCAGTTCATAAATTATATGTGGGTTGCTTTTAAATTAGTGATCTTTGACCGAGTTGATGGGCCTTTAGTGTTTTTATTTTTCACTGATCTGATGACTTGGAATTTGAGTTATATTAAGGGACTTAATGGCCACTGATGGAATTATAGGTGACAGCCTAAGGTTCAGTGAAATTTTCCACAATTAGGTGACAGTCTAAGGTTCAGTGAATCTTTCCACAATTAGGTGACAGCCTAATGTTCAGTGAAAGTTTCCACAATTAGATGACAGTCTAGGGTTCAGTGAATGTTTACTCACCAAGAGTCTCTTCAGTAAAATCTGGCGTTTCTCCTGTTCACACATCAGCTGTGATAACAGCTCTATTAAAGCAATCCTCTTCTCGGCCACCACATTCTGCAACAATTACATTATAGGTGACAGCCTAAGGTTCAGTGAAATTTTCCACAATTAGGTGACAGTCTAAGGTTCAGTGAATGTTTACTCTCCAAGCGTCTCTTCAGTAAAATCTGGCGTTTCTCCTGTTCACACATCAGCTGTGATAACAGCTCTATTAAAACAATCCTCTTCTCGGCCACCACATTCTGCAACAATTACATTATAGGTGACAGCCTAAGGTTCAGTGAAATTTTCCACAATTAGGTGACAGTCTAAGGTTCAGTGAATCTTTCCACAATTAGGTGACAGCCTAAAGTTCAGTGAATGTTGCCACAATTAGGTGACAGCCTAAAGTTCAGTGAATGTTTCCACAATTAGATGACAGCCTAAGGTTCAGTGAATGTTTCGACAATTAGGCGACAGCCTAAGGGTCAGTGAATGTTTCCTCAATTAGGTGACAGCCTAAGGTTCACTGAATGTTTCCACAAATAGGTGATAGCCTAAGGTTCAGTGAATGTTTCCTCAATTAGGTGACAGCCTAAGGTTCAGTGGATGTTTCCACAATTAGATGACAGCCTAAGGTTCAGTGAATGTTTCCACAATTAGATGACAGTCTAAGGTTCAGTGAATGTTTACTCACCAAGCGTCTCTTCAGTAAAATCTGGCGTTTCTCCTGTTCACACATCAGCTGTGATAACAGCTCTATTAAAGCAATCCTCTTCTCGGCCACCACATTCTGCAACAATTACATCACAATTTCATACACATTTTAGTGTTTATGAAAAACATATTATACAGCACTGAGTTTTCTGTTTTATTTGGAATTGGAAGGTCTGAAGTGTTACTTGAACAAAAATGTTTGCCGATGTGTTCAAAAATATACAGAAATATCACTCTCTAGAAAAAAAACTGTACATACTAAATAACCGTGTATAATCTTAATGACTTGAAATTTACTAAATAACCGTTTATAAACTATTAAATAACCTTGTATAAACTAAATAACTGTGTAAACTATACAAACTAAACAACTGTGTATGAACTATAAAAACTTTATAATCATGTACAGTATAAACTATTTAAATTAGATAACCATGTGTGAACTATGTATATAGATTGAGCAAAAATCCATACATAAACAAAATATACAAAGACAAACGCACACTTTCGTGTACATTTTATGTGATAAACTAATCACTGTGTAGAAAGTGGTTAGACTATGCTGATTGTTATAAATGAATTTGTCGAAACCAACATTTCATTCAGCATGGTTATTCTAAACCCATCAATTCAAGAAATATGTTCAGAACTATTCAGAATGTAAGCATTTTTCTTATAGCATGGTGAATATCTTCTACATATGCATACAATACCCCACAAATTAAGATGTGTTTTGAACTTTGATGATTGACATGACATATAGTTTTTCTTGCACTCTATGGTAGCTAGCTGTACATACAATTTCTTCTTCCGTGCGTAGTGAGCGTTTCTCGATTTCCACAGCAGTCAGATTCATCAACTCTTCCTGTATAAGTGCAATCTGAGTACTAATTCTCTGGTGCTTGGTGTCTTTCTGGAGCTGGAGCGCCTCAAACGCCTCGCGCTGTAACTGTCCCTGTGGAGGCAAGCAAACATATAACTGTTAGTATATCATGTGTGTTTATCGTTGTGAGCTAGGGCCGTTTGACCATACACACTATCTATAATAATATACAACATTTATATAGCGCCCTATATAATTTGTAAAAAGAACAAATATAGGGTGGTATTTACATGACGGCTTTGCAGAGATAATATTATGGTTTATATCAATATATTTATGATGAGTACTATAGGGTTTGAGTGGTGTATCCATGTTTAACTGGTGTTTGTTTATGTTAATATATTGTGTGTATTTAGGAAAGTGAGTACGTGTATTAATTGATATTGTACAGTAGTGTGAATGTAATATAATTGTATGTTTGTTATTGTTTTACCTTTTCATATCTAAAATTTCAATCAATCCAGTTATAGATTTTCAAGCCTCAGTTAATTTAACAATCAATATTCCCAAAATTAGTCATACTCTTATAACTGTATAAATAAATAGTAAATCTGTATCACCTGTCCATCATAACCCCTATTTTAATATTTATATCTACTTATACCACATCATGCTGAAACCGGAATGGGAGAAGTCTTATATAGACTTAAGCCTGTTGTCTAATCCTTTTGTTTTGGAAGCAATAAAATATCTTGAATTAAATATGTTAAGGATGCATGCTCCAATATGAACCTGAATATTTTCATAAAGTGTTTGTTTCACTATTTTTGTAGAATAGAAACTCATTTCACATGTATTTTGCAATCAATGATTATGGGATACTGTAAAACAGAAAAAATAATAATGCTTATTTTATTTTGCTCCCCCCCCCAACCCCCCAAATTAAAATGAGTGCAAATTCTAAAATATCTTGAATATCAACCAACTACATACCTGTTCCTTAAGGATGTCCAGCATTACCATGTTTCCAACTTCTCTGTGGTACAAAATGCTCTCAACCTGTCCACTGGCCAGCATAGCCTCACTGTTAAATACCAAGTTAAATATTAATCTCAATAAATTGCTCAATATACTTATAATTATGTGGTATTACTCACTAGTATTAATGGGGTTTTTTTTTTTTTTTACAAAATTAAAATAAAACTTTCTTAACAGTGACCGGTAAAATTTAGGAATAATTAATTTGACAATATTATTCCTCAAAGAAATTGTGATAAAAAAAGTGGTAAAAAAAACATTAGCTTCTGTTGTTTAAAAATATTTAGAATCAACTAGTCCTAGTCATTGTGCTTGCAAAAATATTTGGCACCTCTAATATACTACAGAGAATCACTTACTCTTCAAGAGCCTTTTGCATAGTAAATTCTTTGTTAGTGGTGTAGTCTTGTCGTAACTTCTCAAAGCCCTCTGTCTCAGTCAGGATGTATTTCATTGCATCTGGTACAATGTTAAGAATCAACAAAGATTTACTAAAATAAAGCTGGTACAATGTTAAGAATCAACAAAGATTGACCAAATGTTAAGTGTTCATCATAAAGAATCAGTTAACATCTTCCAAAGGAACATTAATACTACATAATGCATTACAAGGATTTACTAAAATAACATAGAGAATCCACACCTTTCTTTGCCCATTGTGTGACTAGTATTTGATAAAGACCAAATGGTATATAATTACCTAGAACTTCCTTCTTTCTCAAGTTCTGCACTTCTTCCCATCGGACAACAAATAGTTCTTCCTTCTCAATCCTAAAACACAAAACAGTCAATGTTACATATTGAATCAACCAAATTTCTTTTTTATGTAATCATTTGTACAGATTTAAACTGTACTACACAAACAACAACAAAAGACTTTGCATCCAAATCTTTGGTGAAATCACTACAAATGGCTGGTAATGTCCATTATTGTTCAAAGGCAAAAAGTTAAATACCAAGTATTTTTGAACTTAAATGAACATATAGAATAACTATGTACATCATTTTAAGAAATAGTGAAACAACACAATTATTTCCCCCCTTTCACATAGTCTTTAATTGTCATGATATTGTAATTATTAGCGATACAGTTATGGATATTACATCTTCCTATCGATATTACATCTTCCTATCGATATTACATCTTCCTATCGATATAACATCTTCCTATCGATATAACATCTTCCTATCGATATTACATCTTCCTATCGATATTACATCTTCCTATCAATATTACATCTTCCTATCGATATTACAACTTCCTTCTTTAATATCCACATCGTCACAGAAAAGAACGTACCTTTCATTCTCCAGTTGGTCCAGTAATTCCTCATTTTTCCTGGCTTTCTCATTCATTTCTAACATCTTTTGAATCAGGTTATTGGTCCCTTCCTCAACTTTTAACCCAACATAAATTTGTAATGAGTTACAATAACCTCCTTACATGAAGAGTATGTCAATATCACTGACCATCAGAGCCCGGAGTTCAAAAGGTGATTAGTTTTATCACTGTATAACAACATTTTTCAATCTCTAACAATTTGGTCAATACACAACAAAACTCCTTGTACCTTGGCATGTCATTTTACTCCAATATTTGCTATATGAACAGTTTTAACTCAATTAATGATTGTGTTTTAAAGATATAAAAAAAAAATGCGCTTTTAACTGAATAAGCTATCACCTATTGAACATGCAACTGGGCCCAGATGTTCAGCTGTGGGGAAAACAATACTGACAGTAATGCAGCAAATATTCCACAGAAATATCCAATTATCATTATTAAAGTATCATTGTTCTAGCGCTATAATATTCAGTAAAACAATTTACCAGTGACAATAATCTTATACCTTGCATCCACCAAGTAAATAGATTTACAGTCTAAATATAATTATCCTCCAATCATTTTTCATAATATGCATGAAAACGATGTTACTTTAGACAAAACCTTAAGAAAAATGCAATAAATTTAGATTTTTTAATTTTGATAATCATGCAGTAAATCATTTCAGTAATTATGATAGCTATCCAATAGAAATTCCTACTCATTTTCAGGTCTGTCAGCAGTCTGCTTCTCTCTTCATCCTTCTTCATACTTAACTCCTCCAACTCACGCTCAATCTTATTCTGGTCCTGTCAATACACAAATATTACAGTGACAATAAAAGGAGTTACATTATATGTAAGTCAAGATAAGTGAATATTTTTGGAATCTCAAAAGGAAAATGATAATAAAAGATAAACAATCACAAGTTCAACTTGAAGGGCTTCCCAGAAATATAGTGGGAGGGTGTGTGTAAGAGAGGTACTTTCTATGGTCTCCAGCACCACTATTTCTTCCCAGGATGCACAAATACTAACGATTAAAAACTACTTTAAACCCCACCACCAATATGGGGACACCAGACACTTGACTGATGACCTTTTTGTGTTTACATTAATTAGCGATAAAATAAATGAAGATATTTAACAAATGTGTTGAGGTATGACAAAGTAAGAAACATGTACAAAACAAATGTCAATACGTAGATATGATGGAGCAGCAAGTTCTTGTTTCTTATACTGTGTCAATATTGAAAGTGTGATATCAATGCCTACCTCAGCTACCATGTCAATGAAGGACTGCTTGCGGTTTTGGGCCAGACTGGCCAGGTAGGCCTGCTCTCTCTGGTTCTCTGCTAGGTTACGCTCCAACTCTATCTTCTCCAGTCGCTTCTTCTCCTGTACCAAACAGAGCCACACATCATAAGTGTCTTCCGTAAACATGTAATGGTCAATAGCTTCAAGTTATTTCTATTTCAACAAAAAATAATATATACGGTCAATTGAAACGTATAATGTCGTCAATGACAAAACAATAATACAAATTGAAAAAGGAAGCGAAGTCATTAGATGATATCAGGAGAAAGTATTACCGTTTGTGTACGTTGATCTTCCAAGGTTTTCTGGAAAAAGTAAATAAAATGTCAATAAGTAAAATATTTTTAACAAAAAAATGTCGGTCAGACACCACCTCTCCATGTTTCCTTATTTCAAATCTCTAGCACTTTTAACAATGGTCTTGACCTTTGACATAAGAATACAAAACACAGTCATATGAGGTATCATGATACTAATTATATATGTTAAAACATTCATCAAAATCTGGAAATGACAAAACATTTTGACTATCATTAAGCCCTGGAATTTTAACTCGTTCAAGGTAATATATAGGGGGATTAATGGGGTTGTACTGTTTGTTGTGTTTGTTAATCTATTTACTAGATATATATACAAAATTGGGAATTTGTATATATGGAAATATTTTTAAGGCTTCAACTTCATTAATCACCGACACAGTAAAAATTATCAATTAGTTTATTCATTTGATATATTTATATCGGATTGAAATATCGAAATGTAACGACTCACCAGCAGTATTTTCTCCTCCGCAGCCGTTTGGCGTAAGGAGTCATTCACACCACTTGGAGAAGAGTCATCAGGAGAATCAAGCACCCTTAACAGGAAATTGGACGGTGCCAGGTACTCCACTCTACTCTCTAATAAAAACAACATTACATGATGTGTAAACTCTGTTAAATTGTAAAGTATATATGTTCTCAAATGATGATGTAGTGATGATATACAGTAGGTCACTTATTTCCCCAAAAAATTCAAGGGGTGTACATTCACATATATAGGAATATGACATTTCTTTATGAATAAAAGTGGCATGAATTTTTGTTCATGTTGAAAGTTGAAGAAATATTCTGCTACTTACCATCACACAGAAACTGCATTATGGCCTCAGTACCCTGACAACAGACATCTGTAAGAAAGACAGAAATTCCATAGAAAAGTGTTATAATTACAGTAACATACTACCTAGGTATATATTGGTCGTTAGATGTATCAACTTATCAGAAACAAGTAAACAGGCAAACAGGAGAGCTTAATGTAATATTAAGTATTCCATGAAACTAATTATTCTTTGTTTTTGTAGTTTGATGTCTTTTTATAAAACTTTTAAAGCAATTTTTAAAACATCAGGATATTCGCAACTATTTTTTATTGCTTCTTGTGAAAATTCATAAAAAAAGAAAAATTACAGTTTTTTTCACCAAATCAAGAGTACTGTGTGAAGTATGGCTTAAATAGCGTCATTGGAATGCCTTAAATGCCAACATTAAGTTAAATCACATGTACAGGTACATTGTATTTCATTTATAGTCCTAGATCTTCTTAAATGGATTGCAGTCAATAATATTATAAATCCACTAAGCCTGAAGTTTTATAAGGTAGAGTTTTAATTATCCCTGTCCCACTGCACTGTATCCCTGTCCCACTGCACTGTATTCCTTTCCCATTACACTGTATCCCTGTCTCACTACACTGTATCACTGTCCCATTGCGCTGTATCCCTGTCCCAATGCAAGTTGTTTCCCTGTTCCTGCCCCACTACACTGTATCCCTTTCCACTTCACTTAATCCCTGTCCCACTACACTATATCCCTGTCCCACTTCACTGTATTCCTGTCCCACTACACCGTATCCCTGTCCCACTACACTGTATCCCTGTCCCAATGCACTGTATCCCTGTCCCATTGCACTGTATCCCTGTCCCACTATACTGTATCTCTGTCCCTCTACACTATATCACTGTCCCATTGCACTGTATCCCTGTCCCACTACACTGTATCCCTGTCCCACTACACTATATCCCTGTCCCACTGCACTGTATCCCTGCCCCACTGCACTGTATCTCTGTCCCACTACACTGTATCCCTGTCCCAATGCACTGTATCCCTGTCCCACTACACTGTATCCCTGTCCCACTATACTGTATCCCTGTCCCACTACACTATATCCCTGTCCCACTGCACTGTATCCCTGTCCCACTGCACTGTATCTCTGTCCCACTACACTGTATCCCTTTCCACTGCACTGAATCCCTGTCCCACTCCACTGTATCCCTGTCCCACTGCACTGTATTCCTGTCCCACTACACTGTATCCCTGTCCCAATGCACGGTATCCCTGTCCCAATGCAAGTTGTATCCCTGTTCCTGCCCCACTACACTGTATCCCTGTCCCACTACACTGTATCCCTGTCCCACTACACTATATCCCTGTCCCACTATACTGTATCCCTGTCCCACTACACTATATCCCTGTCCCATTGCACTGTATCCCTGTCCCACTACACTGTATCCCTGTACCACTACACTGTATCCCTGTACCACTGCACTGTGTGTTTTCATGTATACAGTAAGATCCCTTTAAGATTGTTTTTGATATAACTGTATAGTCAGAACACCTTTGTTGATCAAGTAGCTCAGTCTTCTTAGAAAATATTTATCAAAGCTATAGTCATGACAGAAAGAACTGTTTCCAATGTGTAGTTACAGCTTTTGACAGTGGTACGAGGATCCTTAATCAATGGAGTAGTTAACAGCCAGTGATGCCCACTGTTTATAAACTACAACATCTCAAGTTTTATGATAACATAATCATAACACCAGACATAAAAGCTACAGTCTCACGACTAACAACCAATGATGGTTGGTGTATATCAGTGGCAATGCAGAACAAATGTAAATATTTACACTCAAGTCTAGACTGCATCCAAGGACTGGAATAGGCCCTCACTACTGTTTGTGTACATATTTTGTGTGAAAAAAATAGTTTTAATTACCTGCTGGAGGATATGTCATTTTTTCAGCATCCAGTATTATAGTTTCTAACGTTACAACTTGACATAGTTCTTTCGGTAAAGAGGTGATAAGATTATCGGATATATCCAGTAGCCGTAGACTCTTCATTCTACAAATGCTCATCGGAAATATCTTGAATTTATTGCCTGTAAAAGATTCAGGTGAAAACAAATAAGATTCTTTATCAATGAAATAAGACTCTCATCAACTTTGTTTAGTTACATTGATTACATTATTTTTTTATTATTTTTTACTAAGCGGAAGATAAAAATTGCATTATTGACCAATCGGAATGGTCACTGTGCATGCTGTATCTATGAAATTGAGATTTCAATGCTTAATGAGATGGTACTGAAGTTTAAACAAAAGTATGCATGTAATTAGGCGTTATATTGCATTCATATAACCCAACTTAACTACATTAATTAGAAATCTGACCTCGTTTGCCTAATAAAGATGACTTAAAGCAGATAAATAGTTCTGTCCAGTCAAACAAAAAGGGTACCAACAACTAAGGTATCACAATGAATACCATTGCCTCATGACCAGATATCCTTAACTCATCAGTTATAGGTATCACAATGAATACCATTGCCTCATGACCAGATATCCTTAACTCATCAGTTATAGGTATCACAATGAATACCATTGCCTCATGACCAGATATCCTTAACTCATCAGTTATAGGTATCACAATGAATACCATTGCCTCATGACCAGATATCCTTAACTCATCAGTTATAGGTATCACAATGAATACCATTGCCTCATGACCAGATATCCTTAACTCATCAGTTATAGGTATCACAATGAATACCATTGCCTCATGACCAGATATCCTTAACTCATCAGTTATAGGTATCACAATGAATACCATTGCCTCATGACCAGATATCCTCAACTCAGCAGTTATAGGTATCACAATGAATACCATTGCCTCATGACCAGATAGCCATAACTCATCAGTTATAGGTATCACAATGAATACCATTGCATCATGACCAGATATCCATAACTCATCAGTTATAGGTATCACAATGAATACCATTGCGTCATGACAAGATATCCTTAACTCATCAGTTATAGGTATCACAATTAATACCATTGCCTCATGACCAGATATCCTTAACTCATCATTTATAGGTATCACAATGAATACCATTGCGTCATGACCAGATATCCTTAACTCATCAGTTATATGTATCACAATGAATACCATTGCCTCAAGACCAGATATCCTTAACTCATCAGTTATAGGTATCACAATGAATACCATTGCCTCATGACCAGATATCCATAACTCATCAGTTATAGGTATCACAATGAATACCATTGCGTCATGACCAGATATCCTTAACTCATCAGTTATTATTCAATAAGGATGGGACAATCATGACATTATGATTGTCAATATATATTTTGCATAATAGATCTACAAAATATAAGAAAGTTTCATCCATTTTATTGTCTAATACATCTAGAAAATGGTCTTAAATTTAAAAAGACTATGATCACGAACAATGAAGGACACCTTACCTTTTACATTCAAGGTCTGGAGATGGCGTAGTTTTGTAAGGCTGTCAGGTAACCGTCCCAATCTATTATTTTCTAGATTTAAAACCTGGAAATAAACACCAAAATTTAAATAAAAGTTTTCGAACATAAATGAACGCACTAAGTTTGAGAGGACCAGAACGTGTTAACTAAGGAGGCAATCATATCTAATAGACCCTGTGGTATTTCTATATTCAATTTTCAATTGATATAAAAATAATACAACATTGATATTAAATCACCTTCATTCCCAACAAAAGTGCCTTAATTAAACAATACTACTGGAATACCAAGACAATCTTTAATAGAAAAAGATAATTCTGTCCTTTAAAACACCAATGGGATAACCTGATTAGTGGTGACTGTGATAGTGGGACAACTGGATTAGTGGTGACTGAGATAGTGGGACAACCTGATTAGTGGTGACTGAGATAGTGGGACAACCTGATTAGTGGTGACTGTGATAGTGGGACAACCTGATTAGTGGGACAACATGATTAGTGGTGACTGAGATAGTGGGACAACTGGATTAGTGGTGACTGTGATAGTGGGACAACCTGATTAGTTGTGACTGTGATAGTGGGATAGCCTGATTAGTGGTGACTGTGATAATAGGACAACCTGATTAGTGGTGACTGTGATAGTGGGACAACCTGATTAGTGGTGACTGTGATAGTTGGACAACCTGATTAGTGGTGACTGTGATAATGGGATAACCTGAATAATGGTGACTGTGATAGTGGGACAACCTGATAAGTGGTGACTGTGATAGTGGGACAACATGATTAGTGGTGACCGAGATAGTGGGACAACTGGATTAGTGGTGACTGAGATATTGGGACAACCTGATTAGTGGTGACTGAGATAGTGGGACAACCTGATTAGTGGTGACTGTGATAGTGGGACAACCTGATTAGTGGTGACTGTGATAGTGGGACAACCTGATTAGTGGTGACTGTGATAGTGGGACAACCTGATTAGTGGTGACTGTGATAGTGGGACAACCTGATTAGTGGTGACTGTGATAGTGGGACAACCTGATTAGTGGTGACTGTGATAGTGGGACAACCTGATTAGTGGTGACTGTGATAGTGGGACAACCTGATTAGTGGTGACTGAGATAGTGGGACAACCTGATTAGTGGTGACTGTGATAGTGGGACAACCTGATTAGTGGTGACTGTGATAGTGGGACAACCTGATTAGTGGTGACTGTGATAGTGGGACAACCTGATTAGTGGTGACTGAGATAGTGGGACAACCTGATTAGTGGTGACTGTGATAGTGGGACAACCTGATTAGTGGTGACTGTGATAGTGGGACAACCTGATTAGTGGTGACTGTGATAGTGGGACAACCTGATTAGTGGTGACTGTGATAGTGGGACAACCTGATTAGTGGTGACTGTGATAGTGGGACAACCTGATTAGTGGTGACTGTGATAGTGGGACAACCTGATTAGTGGTGACTGTGATAGTGGGACAACCTGATTAGTGGTGACTGAGATAGTGGGACAACCTGATTAGTGGTGACTGAGATAGTGGGACAACCTGATTAGTGGTGACTGTGATAGTGGGACAACCTGATTAGTGGTGACTGTGATAGTGGGACAACCTGATTAGTGGTGACTGTGATAGTGGGACAACCTGATTAGTGGTGACTGTGATAGTGGGACAACCTGATTAGTGGTGACTGAGATAGTGGGACAACCTGATTAGTGGTGACTGTGATAGTGGGACAACCTGATTAGTGGTGACTGTGATAGTTGGACAACCTGATTAGTGGTGACTGTGATAATGGGATAACCTGAATAATGGTGACTGTGATAGTGGGACAACCTGTTTAGTGGTGACTGTGATAGTGGGACAACATGATTAGTGGTGACTGAGATAGTGGGACAACTGGATTAGTGGTGACTGAGATATTAGGACAACCTGATAAGTGGTGACTGAGATAGTGGGACAACCTGATTAGTGGTGTCTGTGATAGTGTGACAACTGGATTAGTGGGGACTGAGATAGTGGGACAATATGATTAGTGTTGACTGAGATAGCGGGACAACCTGATTAGTTGTGACTGTGATAGTGGGATAGCCTGATTAGTGGTGACTGTGACAGTGGGACAACCTGATTTGGGGTGACTGAGATAGTGGGACTACTGGATTAGTGGTGACTGAGATAGCGGGACAACCTGATTAGTTGTGACTGTGATAGTGGGATAGCCTGATTAGTGGTGACTGTGACAGTGGGACAACCTGATTTGTGGGGACTGAGATAGTGGGACAACATGATTAGTGTTGATTGTGATAGTTGGATAAGCAGATTAGTGGTGACTGTGATAGTAGGACAACCTGATAAGTGGTGACTGAGATATTGGGACAACCTGATTAGTGGTGACTGAGATATTGGGACAACCTAATTAGTGATGACTGTGATAGTGTGACAACCTGATTAGTGGTGACTGTGATAGTGTGACAACCTGATTTGTGGTGACTGAGATAGTGGGACAACTGGATTAGTGGTGACTGAGATATTGGGATAACCTGATTAGTGGTGACTGTGATAGTAGGACAACCTGATTAGTGTTGATTGTTTTAGTAGGACAACCTGATAAGTGGTGACTGTGATAGTAGGACAACCTGATTTGTGGTGACTTAGATAGTGGGAAAACCTGATTAGTGGTGACTGTGATAGTGGGACAACCTGATTAGTTGTGACTGTGATAGTGGGACAACCTGATTAGTGGTGACTGTGATAGTAGGACAACCTGATTAGTGGTGACTGTTATAGTGGGACAACCTGATTAGTGGTGACTGTGATAGTGGGACAACTGGATTAGTGGTGACTGAGATATTGGGACACCCTGATTAGTGGTGACTGTGATAGTGGGACAACCTGATTAGTGGTGACTGTGATAGTAGGACAATCTGATTTGTGGTGACTGAGATAATAGGACAACCTGATTAGTGGTGACTGTGATAGTAGGACAACCTGATTAGTGGGGGCTCATGAGCTAGTGGGACAACCTGATTAGGTGTGACTGAGATAGTAGGACAACCTGATTAGGGGTGACTGAGATAGTGGGACAACCTGATTAGGGGGGGCTCATGAGCTAGGGGGACAACCTGATTAGTTGTGACTGAGATAGAAGGACAACCTGATTAGTGGTGACTGAGATAGTAGGACAACCTGATTAGTGGTGACTGAGCTAGTGGGACAACCTGATTAGTTGTGACTGAGATAGAAGGACAACCTGATTAGTGGTGACTGAGATAGTGGGACAACCTGATTAGTTATGACTGTGATAGTGGGACAACCTGATTAGTGGTGACTGTGATAGTAGGACAACCTGATTAGTGGTGACTGAGATAGTGGGACAACCTGATTAGTGGTGACTGTGGTAGTGGGATAACCTGATTATTGGGGGCTGAGATAGTGAAATAACCCTCTTTTTAGTGGCTGAAAAGATCAAGTTCATTTAATTCACACCTCGTCAATAAACTGAAATGAATCAATGACATCTTATTAATTTACTGAAATGATACTTCGAAATAATAAACGGAGGATACCTTCAAAATTAAAAATCAAGAACATAAAACTTTACAGTGCATTTATAATTTTCAAACATTATAAAAAAGACACTTACCTGCAGTTTTGACGAACCACCAAGTTCAAAAGGCAGTAATTTGACTTTGTTATTATGAAGATCCAAAACCTAAATTAACATATGTTTGCATGTTAGTAGCAAAAAAAATAGAAACCTGACAGACTCTTCAGGCAAGAGGAATATGTTAACCAATTACCTAGTATCGAAATTGAGAAAAATGATTTCAATAGCATAGGTCTCCTTAAAAGCATATGTTGAACTTTGACCCCTGGACTTAACCAATTTTATCTCTCCAGGGATCTGATATGTACAAATATCTCAATTATAAAAATAATCCCTGCAGTACTTCTTCCTTAAATATAAAAACAACAAAATTTAAAACAAAAAATATAAAAGTCCATTATCTTACAAAATGTAGCAAGTAAACTTTGATTTTTGTATCACATTCCACCTTTTTCCTGTTACTTACCCTCAGCATTTTGAGATCTCCCACCTTACTGTGATCTAACCCCAATATCCAGTTGTCATTCAAAAGCAATGCCTGGAAACAAACAATACCATGTACATAAACAAATGTATAGCAAAACCAAAAATGCTGTTTCCAGTTGTATATATGTGACCATCCAGAATGCTATATTTCTGTGGAATTCCAAATTTAATTCAGAGAGGTAGTTATTAGCCATTAGCTAGGGCAAAACTAAAGTCATATAATACAATATATATTAATCTTTGTTGTAGTAGAGTTAATAATTTGGCAACCCAAGAAAAACATTTCCTTAGACCACACAGAAATACCACATTCCATAGGTACATAACTAGCTGTATCGCTCTTATCAAGTTGATGTATGTTCTAAGTATCCCTCTAACATCTTATAATCATAATGACGGGAATATTGTAATGTCATGTGAAAGCTTTCATTGTACTTATACTTCAGCAGCATTTTGTTGGTTATATATATATATGTATACCCTGTAATGAGAATACCAGCAATTCTATATACTACTATAAACAATGCAATGACTAGAAGGAGTTCTAGATAGATGACTTCTATAAAGTAGGTTCCCTCTACATGATTGATGTGTGAAACATACATTTTTCAGTCTTTAAATCATTAAAATAATGTGCAAGAACTTAAAGAAGCAGGGAAAGTCAACAAAACCAGACTTCAATATTTCCTTTTGAACCGCTATGTCCAGTGTATCGAGAAACTACATGTATGAACCCTAAATGTATATTTAATTAGGCTTCAACATTTTAAAAGTAATGACATTGAACTCAGAGACAAATATGCTTTTATATTTATATTTCTGTAAATCAAATTAATTTGTTCAATTAATACTTATTCTAAAAATTATTTGAGGACAGACAGGACATTCCCAATTGATATATTTGTGACTTTTAATCAATAAAGATATCTTGGAACAAGTACTAATTGTAATGGGGGACCATTATTGAAGTCCCCCAAACTGCCCCCATTGTTGCAAAGATACATCAGAAAAGGATCACAATGGCATAAAACATGTGCACCTTCATACTAAATTTGAGTGAAATCGAACAATATCTGAATTTCGATAAATCTGAAGCCTCCATATTGTTGGTATGGCAACGAAACCTATGCAGTTGAATTTGCAGTCTCCTAATACCCCAATATACCAATTTTAATAAAAATCAAACAATATATAAATTTCGACCAATCAGAAGCCTCTGTGTGGTTGCTATATAGTTACTATGGCAACAACACCTATGTTGTTGAATTCGCAGTCCCCTAATACTCCTATATATACCAATTTTTATCAAAATAGATAAATATCTACCCCATAGTCGCAAAGATGCATCAGAAAATGATCGCAATTAATGCCTTTAACCACAGGTGTCTACATACTATTTTTGAATGAAATCGAACAATTTCTAAATTGCAACCAATTAGAAGCCTCTGTGTGGTTGCTATTGCAACGAAGGTATGCAATTGAATTTGCAGTCCTTTAATATCGAAGTTTGGGGTATTTTATAATATGAATTTATTTTTCATTATGAACTAATTATATAATCACCTACCTCTTTGTTGAGTACTTTGCACAAAGAGTATACATTGGGCGGCACCTTGAAATATAAAAGAGAGAATTTATTTATATATAATTTCAAAGAAATATTCTCATTGCAAAATACTTTTAGATTTCACAAGATACACGTTTTTGTGCTGAAGCTTTCTTACATTCTCTGCAACCCTGAAATATATCATGACAAAATTGAAGGATTATTCAAACAGACTAATTTGATCCTTTGATGTACTTGCATGCAGCATGTGGGTAAAATCACATTAGCAGTACTTAAGAGAGGAAAAAAACAGTTACTTAGCTCTCTTGCAATTGGGTGTCATCCATTCCAGTGGGATAATTTTAAATGCCCACCACCTTCAGATATTTCCTGTCAAATTGTTAATTTCCCATTCAGGGGTTAAGAAGGAAAAGTCATGTGAAGATACTATTGATGGGTAGCAGATGGACAGATGACAGACAGCTTACCTAGCATGGTCCTTCAAAACTAGGTAGCTATATAAAGGCTTAAACCTTTGATGTAGAAATGAGTGGTAGATTGTGGTAATGGATGGAATCATTATGGTTTATAGGAAGTTATTTTGGATTTAAATATTTACAAACCTCTGACATTTCACAATTGGATAGGTCAAAGTTAGGTTCGGGACTCTCCTGGCCCTACAAAGCGAACAAAACATGTTTCAGTATATATGTCAATGCTTATATAAAAAATAATTTTGTATATTGCTATTAAAATGCTTTTATCTGTTCATTTCTATAAATCTGACAGGTTTTTATATCAGACATTGTGCTAGACAGTATATACTACTGTTAACAAGATAAAGTTTGCATGTCACAGAACTTGATCTGTATTAATGATAATATCCCATATTTTACAGCACTTTCTTCTTAGCAAAATTCTATTCAGTAGACAAAAAGTAAATGTATTATACATTTGTATTCTTTTCAAAACAAAATTTCTGCAGCTCCGAGGCAAGATAGGGGTACAAATTTATATGAACAGCTCTTACAAGTACTTTATTGATTTCCTTTAGCTTTCTATTACCAGGTAAAGCAAATGGTCCAATCGGCGCTTTGCCCCTGCACTCTGACTTCTGAACAGTGACATCTTCTTCTTGCTGCTCCGTTTCTTTTCCAATTTTGGAGTTACCTTCTCCTGATTTTGGTCTGAATCACTATCTGAGCTGATGTCATTGTTACCAGACGAAGGACTGGATGGCAATGACATTGATGTCTGCTTGGATCCATTATGGCCCATTCAGGCCTTTAGTGTGAGATACCAACTGAAAAAACCCGATCTAATCATAACAAGAAACAAAGAGTATAGCAAGGAGTTTAGATCAGTCATTAGTAAGAATTTTGAAGTTTCATTGCAACCGAGTGAAAACAAGAAATATTCCTTATATAATCAATCAGCGTTCCTAATATAATTTATCAGCTGTACATTTAAACCTATATAATGAAATCTTGTAATTGTAAATTATCTTATATACTCCAAAGTAAGAATTTTGAAGTTACATTGCAACTGAGTGAAAACAAGAAATGTTCCTTACATAAAATAATCAGCTGTACATTTAAACCTATAAGGAAATCTTGTAACTGTAATTGTCTTATATACTCCAACTATCTCCTTCGATCTATTCTAGTCCTATTCTAATTCTTCACTTCATACCATAACCCTACTATGTTTTCTCATGAAATGATTGGTCGAACGGCCGTAATAGAAAACGTAAAACCCTTAAATAAATACGAAAGTGACCAGTTCCTGTGACCTAACGAAATTCAGGGCAGGTACATATCATATAGTTCGTATTTATCATATCAATAACGTATAGGGCTATTACCCCCCCCCCCC